CCTTAATGAAACCTCCGCCCTGACACCACCGCCGACCTGAGTTAAGAATGCCTTTTCGAATGCAGGCCCTGACACAGACGCCGATGCCTGTTTTTTCTGCCCATTATGAACTCCCATGTGACATAAACGTACTTCCCCCAAAAAGTAAATACATTTTTAATGCTTAGGGTTTAAACTTTATAACTTTAAATTGAAAAAAAAAAAACAATAACATTGTTTGTGTTTAATCTTGCAGGATTGTGACGAGGCGGTGGCATCGAATCCAAAATTTTCAAAGGCACGCTTACGAAGAGCACAATGCTATATGCAGGTAAGTGACTCAGTGAGTGTTGGTGACCCAATCTCTGTCAACTCTGTGGAGTTTTCCTGTGTCTCAATTAGAAAAAAGGCGATGATGGCACGCACTCTTCTGTCTTTCACAACCCCACGAGTGATATGACTGGCCTGTCTGTATTTTGAGCTTCTCGTCCTTCGAAACACTCTGTTCATTCTTTGACATCTGGATACTGCCCAGGAACAGGTACCTATTCCTGGTCCTCTTTTTTTTTGACAGAATGCTCCTGGGTTCCTGGTCCTAATCTGGGACCCAGGAAAATTGAAGCACCCGGATCGGTCATCGGTCCACTTCAGAAAGAGATTCTGAAAGTAACAATTCGTGAATTGGTCAACGATCATCGCGGCTGTCATCTTGGGGAGGCCAGCCATGACAAAAGTCACATTGGCAACTAGCCTCACGCTGAAAACGTTGTCTTCTAACGCCCAAGCTATGATTGAATTTGAACTCCGTGAAGGGGCACAGGATGCATGATGCCAATGAGGGGCTCATGCTCTTGCCCACTCCAATCGCATACGTGTATGCATGCCTCAGCTCGATCTCGATAAAGCTCACCATCTCTCTAATCCCAATCTTCTTCCAATGGTCCTGGCCAGTAGTCACACTGAATGAACAGCCACATCCCCACGTATTCACCCTCACGAATTCCCTTCCTTTTCCCGCATGATACCCAACAATCCACACCAGAGCTTCGAGGATCTCATGATGGGGGAGCTTGCTGAAAATTTCCTTGATGTCAAAGGACATCCAAGGTCACTTCAACTTGCTCCCCCAATCTCCCAATCTTACCATTAATCCTGCCAAGTCTGTCCGCCAGCATAGATACGGCCTGCAGGTTAAAGTGCCAATCTCTTGGCAGACTAAACAACAGGTGGTTCAAACCCTTCGCAATTAGCCTCCCAAGTGTGCACCATCGGCTCACTGAAAGTTGGACAGATAGGTCGCTATCTGTCCCGTCCTTCTGCTTTGGAAGACCGTAAGCAGAACCGAACCTACCTTTGTTCCGCATTTCTGCATGGAACATGTCAAGATTCAGACAACTATTTCAATCCTCTTTGCCACCCGGATCTGGTCGTAATGAACTTAATGAGGCTTGGGTGCATTGATGGAGTCACTTTAATCCTCTTTTTTTTTCAAGGCGTGGCCCCTGACTTTATCAATGTTCATCTGATTGCATCAGGATTTGAACTCATGTTCTGTTTACCAGCAGTTGCATGTGTGTACCATTCAGCCACATGGCCTGGGTAATTTGATCAGTTCAACAACTTCAACTCCGTTTCAATCTGCTTTTTATTAGCTGGACAGATGGGAGGAAGCTATAAATGACTGTGAGATCCTCAAGAAGGAAATGCCAGGGGATGAAGAGGTCAGCAAATGTCTGTTCAATGCCCAACTGGCCATGAAGAAGCATCGCGGCGAGGACACATCGGGCATTCATTACGAGGGTGACGGGATTGTCACCATCCGCAGCTCGGAGAAATACAAGGAAATGATGCGCTCCTCTGGTATGTTGTTACTCTCTCTCTCTCTCTCTCTCTC